CCTCAGACGACCTCCATCACATATTATGACATATCGAATAGTGGCGAATCCTGAAAATAGGTGGTACGTACCAAGAACTCGGAAGTTAAGAAAGGTTTTAAATTCAATTACATGCCAAATCAAAAACTTACTTAAAAAATGGAAGACGTCATTATGGCAAGATCGAGTCACAGCAACTCACGGCGACGTCAGAAAGTTCTGGAAACTTACAAAAACTGCAACTAGAAAGTCTTCAACGATTCGACTTCACGGCGGGGACGGCCTGCTTACATCTATTGAGCAAGCCGAGGTTCTGGTTGACCACTACGGAAGGGATATTTATGTGAGAACAGACCCACAATCAATCATACCCAGTACGACCAGAGACATAAATTTCATGTTTGTAAGTCCTAAAAAATTAAAAACCATTATTCGACGAACCAGCGGTAACCGTGCACCGGGTCAAGACAGTGTACAAACCATTTTGCTAAAGCAACTTCCTCGGAGACGTATAGTACACCTTACAAATTTATACAATACCTGTCTCCGACTGAGATATTTTCCAGAACAATGGAAACACGCAATATTGTTCCCTCTATTAAAACCGGCAAAAACAGGCAATGCTCCAGAACACTATAGACCTATCAGTTTGCTGCCACACCTCGCAAAAATTTTTGAAAAAATAATTCTGAATTATCTTAGGGATTTCTGTGAGGAACAATCGGTCATACTATATGAACAAAAGGTTTCCAAGCACAACTAAACACTTAACACCATTTAATGAGACTGCCACAGCAATGATATCTATAGATTGCTCGAAAGCATTCGATTCAGTATCTTACAGCAATCTCTGCCAGAAGCTACTTGATCTTGAGTGCCCTGAACAGCTCTACATTATCATAACATTCCTTCTTAACAAACCGAAGCCTGGCTGTAAGAGTACAAAATAAACACTCCCGCACTGTCCCCTTAACCTGCATTGTACCCCAAGCAGCAGTTCTTTCACCACTATTATTTTGCATCTACACGGCGGAAATCATAGGTCAGAACTACAAACGCGCTAGATAGTAAGTTAGTTATTAAGTAGTAATAAGATCCTTATAAACCCCCATCACCTTTACTGATACATTTCATAATTATTGTTACAACAAAACATAAAGACAATTTCAATACGGCCGTGACAATTTCAACTGCATCTTAAAATGTAACACAGTTACAGTAAAAGGCGTTCAACACAAAACTTAATTGTAAAATAAATTGTTCATTATGTATTATATTATTGGGGTTAAGAAAATAAATAAATAAACAAAGAAATTAAAAATAAAATATAATAAAATAAAACGTGCTTAGCTCAGGAACATGAATTAGTAGACTATCAACGACTTTACCCGAGAGTTAAAATCTGACGAATGATTCTATTTCATTCTCCACAACAAAGTGCAAAATGCAACTAAGATGTTTTCACTTCAAAATACTTCCTGAAATACTCAAAAACAAAAAGTCGTACGGAAGTGAAATTGCACATTTTATATTTTTGCATGACTGAGAGAATATTTATTTATTTACAAATGAATTTATATTTATAAATGCTGCACATATACATTTACAGATTTAATGGTTGGAGAATTTATTTTAAGTCTAAATACAATAAACCTCTTAAGAATACTATCTTTAATATTGTGACAATTAATGATGTGTTCTTCATCAACAGAACTAATTTTTCTCTATGAAAAATTCTTTAATTTGTTACTTTATTTTATTAATTTTCCTTTGTAATTCAGTGGTTATAAAAGAAAAAGTTGGAAATTAAGTTTGAAACTTGGTTATAGAAGATATTTTCATAGTTTGAGGCTATTAGCTGATAATTTTTTTATTTTGAAGTCAGTGGTTTCAAGTATGAAATTGAAATTTGGCTTTCCTCTATAGTTATTGTAACTTTCAATATTAAAAATATGAATGTAATTGATGACCCTTGAATCATAATTGAATTGAATATAGTTGATGATCCTTAGATAATAAAGAAACATCTTGAATAAACATCAACACTTTTAGAATTTCAATAATAAGAAAAATAATCATTTCATTTCAGAACTTCTGCAGCACAACAATCTATTTCTTAAAAATCAATCATGATGAGTATCATACCACTTATTCTGGCATCAAAGAAACTACTTACTTTTAGTTACTCGAGATCTCAATAAAGCTATAGATCATCAACTATACCCATATTTTAATGATCAAAGTAACAATAACTATAAAGGAAAACCAAATTTCAATTTTATACTAGAAACTACTAATTTCAAGATAAAAATTGTGTTAGCTAGTAGCCTCTAACTATGGACACTACTTCATACATCCAAGTTTCAAACTTCAGTTCCATCTTTTTCTTTCATTACCACTGAATTAAAAAGCAAAATTAATAAAATAAAGTAAAGAATTAAAGTATACTCACAATTTTATGTCTATGAAGAAGAAACCAAACTTATCACTTCAAACACTAATATGTATAACTATTAAATAAAAACTACCAATTAGTAAATTAAATCTATTACTAAAACCACACAATTAAACTTTTAAACAAAATATCACTAATAAAATAAGAGTCTGTGACCATAAAACCTATCACTGAACATGAAATCAAAACTATCACTTTAAACACTAAAACGTATAACTATTCAATAAAAACTACATATTAATAAACTAAAACTATCACTTAAACAACAAAATTAAGCATCCAAACTAAAATACTGCTGATAAAATATGAAAATTTAGGAGTTTTGAGGTTAGAAAAACCTTCCATATGTACCATGTGCTCAGCTCAGGAACACGAATTAGTCGACTATTGCCGACTTTACCCGAGAGTTAGAATCCGACGAATGAATCTATTTCATTCTCCACAAAAAAGTGCAAAATGCGCCTAGATGTTTTCACTTCAAAATACTTCATGAAATGCTCAAAAACAAAATGTCGTTTACAGTTTTCTCAAAACTAGCTCTAATAATTTTTAAAATTTGTTGGTCTAAAGTACCTTTAGGCATTTTTTTTTTAATTTGAAATAATTAACCATTTCACATTGTAACCTAGTATAAAAAATGGTTAAGTATAATTTTTTTTTTTTTTTTTTTTTGCACTTACATATATTTATCCGCACCTGTCAATTATAACTAGAAATATAAAATATAAAAGAATCTTATTATTAACGGAAGAAACCGAAGAAACCCGGGCGCACCCGAGCTCAGCCAAAAGGTTATAAAAACCTTCCTCATGCAGCACGTGCTTAGCTAAGTAGCATACGCGCCTTTTTTTTTCATTCTTTCCGAAACCTTTGTCCCGCATGCGCCTCAACAGGACACTTAGTTGACAAGTTGGAATATACCTGTTGATGTTTGTTTATTTGATCGATCATTATTATTTATCTTTTGATATTACTGTTTTAATTATGGTTTACAGAATGCTAACATTTTTTATAATATAAATATAATGAGTTCTTAAAACTGTGATTGAAAAAAATTAAATTTCGTTCAGTTATTATTTTTGATCTCGCACGTCGTCTTGCTTACTGTTATCACAGGTAATATTATAATTATTATTATTATGATTTTAACTCTATTCACTTTTCTATAGCTTTTATAAGTTTATGATTGTAATTTGTATATTATGTTTTAGAATGTAACTATGAATTCTTTGAAAAAATAATTGCTGTATTTTCATTTAATGAATTTCAATTTTATTGAGTGGTCATATTAATCTGTTGGCTGCCTGCGTAAGCTTAAGGGCGCCTTATTTTAAATACTTATTGTAATATTGTAAATAGCTGCCTGATCTATCATATGGATTAAACCAAATTTTCAGTCAAGATATTTCTATTGGGTTAGCCACGAGGTTAATATATAAATAAAAATAGCTTGACTGAAAGTCCTGAAAATTTTGTTTCATCCTTGAATACTTATAGTCTTACAAATGAAGTTCAGACAAATTAAAATGATAAATGATGAAATATTTGTTATAATTGTAAAACCGGAAAATGATCTGAATTTGTAAAATATTCAGTATTTTTTCTCTCTTAATCTTAGTTAACAAGAATAAATTATTCAATAAAATGGGTTATTAATGATAATTTATTTTATTTTGAGTGAAAATTACTGTTTTTTTTTTCTTTATTCTTTAACTTTCTTCTTGTGCACTTCAGCCTTGAGCTAAGTTAACCCAACCCAGGATGTCTAGCTCCATCTCTTATAAGAGTCTTCATCTCCTGCAATGTATTTTCGCTCGCTTATCCCAACTTGGAAATTATTATATAGTTCAGTATAGCTATTATAGTTGAGCTTTGGTCTTCCTCTAGGTCTAGTGCCTACTGGTCTCGCCTCGATACATTTGTGTGGGTCACAATTAGGGCTCATTTTGGGCACATGCCTGTACCATCCCAACTTTTCTCCAGAGTCTCCTTCATTAGAGAAATATTTAGTTCTTTCCTCATAGTTTCCTGCAGTTATTCGGCTACATTTATTGTCCGTGAGTAACCAGCTCTCGTCTAGATATAGCAGAAAAGGCATATATATAGCCTTGAAAATATGGAGCTTGAGGTCTTTATTGATCTTAGTCTTTCCTACGATTGTGTTTCTAATGAAATAGTACATACTATTAGCGTTTCGTATTCTGTGGGATATTTTTGGTTGGACTTTTCCATTTCTGCTGATCACAGTTCAAAGGTAGGAGGACTCATTCATGACTTTAAGCTCCTCACCACTGCACATTATGTATGTGCATTTATGGGCTCTCGTCCTTATTGTAGTATTTTCCTTTTTCTTGCATTAGTATTCATGCCCTTTCTTCCCAATTCTACTCTCCCACTCTAAGGGTTTGCTAGAGATTATATGGAGTTTCACAGCTTTAGAATATTTGTATTATTTCTAACAGTTATAACATTACTGTATATGTGTAAAATAAAAACTGTATATAAAATTACATTATATGTAATTTATGTAGTGATGATGTTGTATTTTCCTTCAACATCTTAAGTTACCTGCCAATTTATTTAATGCAATTTTATATATATTTTTAAATAATCTTTATTTCAGTAGAAAAATAATAAACAAGTAATCAATGATTGATATTACAGGGACTGATTATGGAGAGTCCACTCGAGCATGGATCTGAAGACCATTGGGTTTGGAACGAACATGACAAGAGTTGTGATGTGTGTTTACATGGACAAGAATCAAATCGCTTATGCCTTGCATATTTCCGCCCCCAATACACATCTGGTACTGCAGCTGTTAGAGGCACAAAAGTCCTCAATAATGGAAGGTACTACTGGGAACTTGAACTTCCTTTGGTGATATCTGGAACCACCATAATGTTTGGTGTTGCAACGAAAAAGGCAAGACTTAATGCTCATTTGCATAGGAACTTACTATGGAGAGATCCGCACATCTGGAGTTTATCCCATGACGGAGCAATCTTCCATGGAGGTAAATGGGCTCATTACACAGAACCTTTCCAAGATAGTGTTGCTACAACATTAGGAGTTCTGTTTGATGGCATAGAAGGAACATTAACTTTTTATAAAGATGGTGTTTGTTTAGGAGTGGCATTTAAGGATTTACACAAAATTAATGAAAACATATACCCCATTATTGCATCTACTGCAGGAGTGACATATAAACTATCCTTGAAGAAGAGGGACTTCGGGAGTTTACAAGAAAGGTGTCGAGCTGTACTTCTTTCTCAATTAAAAGGACCGAAAGTACCAAAAACAGACCTTGGAAGGTTGGTTTTGGTACCTACACCATCTTTGCCTGTAGCAATAAGGAACTATTTAAATGAATCTATAGCAAAAACAGGTGTACGTGCAGAGAGATTCAATGATTTCGATTGAATATAAAAATGATGTTTTTTGTGATTTCTATCTCCACTTAACGACATGTTTTGTCATTAAATTATTTTATTTATTCGATCTATGTTTTTTTTTTCATTTTTTATGATTTGTAATTTACTATTAGAAAAACAAACTTATCTGTTTTAAGTTTCTATGTTTGTTATAAGATTAGTTTCTGTAAATATAAAACTTTGATACTTCTACACATTCTTTATTCACCTATTAATTTTCAAAGTTTCAAACAGACATCGTTTTTAAGAAAATTCTAACATTTAATTTTGTCATCCCAGTCCCATCTTAACCCCTTAAATTTCCATTAATGCTGGAAGTACGCCATCCCTTCTTACTGTTTAATCTATTTTAAATTTTAGGATGCCATATTTTTTCCTGCCTCAGCCACTCAAGAATTTTTACGTCTTCTGTGATTACCACTTGAGTTTTTGATATTTCTCACAGACTTACTTCTTTTTCCTCAAAGTCTCAGAATTTCTTAATATTCTGACAGTGGTCTTCATTGAGACTTTTTCTCAACTTCTATCATGCTCCTCGTTTTGCTTGATTGACTATTCCTTTGGATTGGTTTGGTCAAATATTATTAATTTTGTTTTTTTATGTATTTTGTCTTTAACGTAGGCTTTCCATGATTTCTTCTGTGATTGAATAACATGACATACTTCTTCATTCCACCACTCTGTGCACTTCCCTTGATATTTTGCCTAAACCACTAACTTCTCTTACTACTTCTAAGATACAGGTTCTGAAATGGCATGACTGCTGTTCTGTATCACCATACAGACTAATAATTGTTAGTTTTCTTTCCGATTTTACAATCTAGCGGTTCTCTTTACAGCGTCATCTAGAATTTTTATATTTAATGTTGGGTAATTCTGCTTTAATGTGTCTCTGCGGAATTTAAATATTGACTATTAGTAGCAAATGATAGCTGTCGATTTCTGTGCCTCTTATTACTTAAATTTCGACAAAATACTGTATTATACTATGATCATATATGAAATAGTCGGTTATGTTGTTTATTTTCAGATTCGAAAAGGTTATTTTGAATACCCTTTGGTGAGAAAAGAAAGAATGAAAGAGTTGCCGACAAGCATGTCATTGTCCATTCCCATTCCTTACAATTTTTCCTCAAGTTTGTGTTGGATAAGTCCCTGCCGTAGGTTATTTATATTTAATATTGATACAAATAAATAAACTATGGTTAGTAGGTGATGTACCATCAGGAAAAAATTATTTTTAAAAAGTTACCAGTTCGTAAAAGTAACAGAGAGAATTAAAAAAATATTGTGTTATAATCGGTATTGAATATTTGGTCACAACATTATTGCTATGTTCTGTTTTTAAATTATGATTTAATCTAACATTCTTTATCATATTTTAACATACCAATTGATAAATTTCCATGACCAAAATATAAAAGATTTTGACAAAAGAAATCTTCATCGAAAAATAGAAGTGACTGTTTTAAATAATATAGTTAAAATCCACAAAATTATTTTGATAGTACAATTTAATTTTTAAGTTTTTATATCTAATTATCATAGGAAAACATCCTTATGATGGAGGAAGCCCCAAATTCTTGATGAATTAATGTAATAAAAACAAAAAGTAGAATTGTAAAGAATGAAAGATCTATTTTCTTAGAAAACTGCAATTTGAGCTAGCATCCATCTTTACAAATATTTATCTTATTTTAATAAGGGGCCACGGTGATCAAGCAAGTTAAGGCAAAAATTTCATATCGAGTGTTCAAATCCTGTTCTGGGATTTAATAAGAAAAAATAAATTCAAATTAGTGCAGGCTTGATTGCTTAGGTCACTATGGGGCAGGTTCAATTCCCACATAGGGATGGTAACCTCCCCACCCAGAGATTCACAAGGAGGTGAACAACCTCTGTGAGTTATACAACAGCTCCTGGTCCTCCAGATCAGGGGTTGATTATAGGACTACTAATCAGTGCCTGATGAAGTGAATTTTGATTGCGTCCGATTAGTAAACCACGTGCTCCCTGGATATCTTTAAAAAAAAAAAATTAATATATTTTATTCATAAATTGGTTGTTATGTCAGTCATAGGCATATACTTTCCATTCTGATCGTGAGGGAGGACGAGAGACGATGGACCCACCAAAAAAAGTCTTATTTTTTAAAATTAATAAGTTTAATATTATTCTAGTCTCCTATCATTTTAAGAAAAGATTATAAAACGTGAAACATTCCTCAAGATAGGACAACTACACAACCTCAGTATAAAATTACTACAATATTTATATAAATTCAAGAGAAGAGATATGACAAATCCATCAAAATTATTTTAAACCTGTAAAAAAGAAACATTCATATGGCTGAATAGGTCTTACCTGGTTTTTGAGTGTGTTGAGAATGACTGAAGAGCAGGATAACAACACATATGATGTAGATAGGGTGAGTTAGGAATATTTTAGGATGTTTGCTTAAATACATATATTGAAAAAGGAATTTAATAAAGATTTAATTTAATATAAATTTGCCAAGTACTAAACAGTTAGCCTAAACTTTACATATAAATTTTAGGAGTTTCGTATCAAAAACTCGACGCCGAATGGATATTAAACCACAATTTCAATGGATGTTCAACCAAGATTTCAATGAATATTCAACTGAAATAGTATTATAATAGACAGTCTATTGGAAATGTTCAAATATAGAATACAGGCTATACCATTTAAAAATAGAATAACGTTTAAAAAATAGTAATAGGATTTTTTTTTTTTTTATGCTTTTGGATATTGAAAATATCTAACAAAACAATTGGATAAATTACAATTTGTATACATTAAACATAAGATGGAGGGATATAGCTTCCATAACATAGGGTACATTTCTAGAAATTTTTCAGCTAAAAATGGATAATGTTAAAACTGAAAAATACTTATGATTTTTAATTTGTACAACCTCCAAATAAAAATAAAACGTTTTCTAATTCTAACTATGTAAAAATATTCTGTATAAGATATATTTATACTTGAACGTATTAAATAAATTTTTTCCAACTTTATGGCAGAAAATTTATAAGAAAATTATGTGAAAATGGAGGTGGCCACATGAAAAGTGAATGAATAATAAAATCCAAGGATATGTTTCTGTATTATTCCTGAAAATGAATGAAAATTTGAATAATAGGAATATTTAGGTTGTGATAAAATAGTTACGTTCCTACTTATAGGCCTCAGCTAGCTAGTTGACTTTTCTTATTTTCCTAATCGATTTTAATTTACATATTTTATTCATTAATGTAAGCTTATTTGTTATCAATTTTAATTTGATCGCCCCCCTAAGTCTGCGCCTATGATCTCATCCTCAAGTTATAACGTGTCGCAATAGCTAATTGGCAGTTTTTTTTTAATAAAACAAGGCTGAGATTTGTTTGAAGGATATTTTCCTTATTACTTTCTCTTTGGAGATAAGTGTGAAATTTTTATTAATTCATCAGTGTTTTGCTATTTCTTAGTTAAAAAAAGCTGTGTAGAATTTATTTTGGGTTCTTTAGTTTTGTAAAAATACCTGGTTGGCCTGAAGAATTTGAAGATCTAATACTGGTGCAAAATATGCTTTCAGAATTCCTTAAGTTTTTCATGAATAATTAACTACATTAAGCGCACCAGTTATGGACACAGCTAATGAAATTTTTGGCTTAAACCGCCGGTATTATTATAATTATAAATTTCTCCGTTGAACATTTAGAATCTCCATGGTCTCATTTTTCTATTTAACATTTTAAAATTGAAAAAAAAAAAAACATTCAGTTATGCTGGTATAATCTCCATTAAAAAAAACACTTTTTTGAACTAGTGATGGATACCCCGAAATTAAATTGTTTTAGTACTGGACTGGGGATCAGTACCAGTAATAGACATACCTCAGAAAAATTATAAAATATTTATTTAACTATAAAGATAACAATTAAGATAATATACCATAAATGTTCAACTTACTCTTAGTAAAACTGTTAGTAGGAAGGTATAAAACACACTGATCTCAAGAGAACTATTGAAACAACAATGATGGGCATTTTTTCTGGCAACTGTTTCAGTTATCAATAGATGCCATTTTTCTCCAATCTAAAAAAAAACTGGAGCCTTTAAATCAACAAGGAAACTTATCATTTACATTTAAAGTCCAACCTGTCCATCGCTGGGTCTACTGCCCATAACTGGTGCGTTCACTCTAATTGACTGTATATAAAAAAAAAGTGTCGTAAAAGACTAAATTTTCTGCCAATTAAACCCATTTGCAAAAATCCACCTCCAGAAGTAAAGCTGTGATTCACATTAATGTTAACATTTTTTCTTTAAGTGTCTATTACTCAAACATTATATATCCTAAAATCTTCAGAATAAATACTCCCTGAAGTAGTACACAAAATAACTCAATGAGGGGGTCACATATACTCACAACAACCACATCCATACTTACTATCATATAACCAGCAGAAAAGAATACATATTTACTACATCTTCTGATTTTCAAATGCAATTAATTTACAATTTAGTTCATTGACATTATTGTGAAGCGGAGAATGGATTTTTATTTTTTAGTTAAGGATTTTAGACATTTTTATAATTTTCTCAAAAAGAGCTCTAACAATTTAAACTGAACTTTTTATATCAATGTAAAATTGAATGTTCCTTAATACTAATTAGATCTTATCCTTCATTGAAATGCCAAGATTTATTCCTCTAAATATCTTTAATTTTGGTTATTACAAAAAATTTAAGATTGTTAGTAATGATCCTTTACCCCTACTCTATTGAATATTGCTTTGGTGTATGCAATAAGGGTGATCCGGACGTGTCCTGGTAGCACTATTTATAATAGGATGATGCAGCATCTAGTTTATGCTGATGATGTAAAACCAGCAAGACATAAAACAGCAATAGCATGGGTACTTGAAAAATTTGTAATAGCAGCAAAACAACTAGGGTTTCAAATAAATGAGAAGAAGACTTTACATGCAATCTTCAAGAATGTGTCACATTAGGTAATCACATCCTGAAAGCGGTAAAAAACTTTATGTATTTAGATGTTTTAATTACAGAAAGTAGTGTTTTGACGGAAGAACTTAAAGCAAGAATGACTGAGCAGCTTTGCCATGAAAAAATTGCTAAATTATAACTCTCATAGTACAAAAATCACAGCAAATGAGAAAGTTATAAGAACCATTGTTATCCATGGTTCTGAGACTTGGATAATCTTTAAGGTCTCAGAAAGCAAGCTATTCGCAAAGGAGAGAAGGGTTCTTCACAGGATCTACTGTCTGGTGTGTGAGGATGGTCAGTGGAGAATTTGTTTCAATAAAGTGCTGCACATCACACCAACCAAATCAGATGGGATTACATTCACAAACGCCTGCTGAATGGCAGACCTGGTGGAAGAGGTGGCATAGAAAGACCCCGCTTGAAATGGCTGGACGAGGTGGAGAAGAATGACAAGAGAGACTCAGGTTCTTGTAGGACCATAGCGCCAAAATATAAATAAATAATAATAGCAGTAATACAAGAATGGCAAATAAGATCTATAAAAGAATTTCATGATTAACTAAAGTTGAAAATGGGAACAATAATTTCACAGGTTGAAAAGAAATTTCCGGAACTATGTGTAGTAATATAGAAGAATGATATAATTGTTATAGGTAATATTTTTTTTTCAGCTTGAGACGTGTAATAATAATAATATGTAGTGCACAGAATTGTCATCATTTATGTCTTAAATTAGTATTTATAATTAAAGTAACTTTATTGAGGTATATTAACTTTAAAAAAATTTAATTTATACTGAAAGTAGAATCAAATATATCTCAATGATGTTCTTTTTGTGGTTGGTAGAATATGTCATCATAAATAATTCATAAAATTTAATGATTAAACTCTTTTCAAAGATTTTCTTCCCCTTCAGTACCGAAAAATAAGAACAGTCCCCATAAAATTCAGGGAATAAAAGTTATGAAGAAAATAAAACATTATTCACACAGAACTCAAAAAATGTATAATTTGTTAATTATACCCAGGATATTTGTAAAGCATCTAAATTCCTTAAAAAATAAAATTGTTTATTATTTTCAATAGTGAATCATTGTAACCAATTGAAAAAAAAAAAATTAATTCTAATCTTTTATAGAAATAGAAATGAAAAATAAACTTTATTCTGGGACAAAGTCCCTAAAGAATAACAGCATTCTTGATACACAATAACATTAAGTCTGTCCATAAGACTCATTATAATAAATGAATAATTAGAACAGAAGTAATGAATACGAGTATACACATAGCTATGTAGATATGTTAAAGAAATACGATTAGCAAAAGTCTCAGAATACTAGAACAGAGTTTAAAACTACGTCACCAAGAGGCCAAATGTGACTTCAGAGGCTGCGGTTCCCCACCTAAGTTATATTGCATTTAATTACTGCCATATTATATTGTTGTTTGTTCACTGACTAATAGAATATACAATTATTTGCATGGACCAACAAGTTAGACACTATTATACAATTATAATCCTGAAATTTAAACAACAAAAATAGGTAGTAAGTCCCTCAAGTTAAATTCAAAAATAATAATGTCCCATTAAGTAATATTATTGGTTTCATAATTAATGTTAAACTAATTTTTAATAATAACAGAGTATTTACAGATAAAACAAAAACTCTCAAATATTAAAATACTATGAACAAAACACTCAAGATTGTGAAAAAAACTATATATAATGGTTGTACAGCATAAACATACAGTTTAAGAAATGAAGAACAAAAAAGAGACAAAATAGAATAAGTTCATTTCATAAAAAAACTTTACTTGTATATATATATATATATATATATATATTATATATATATATAAAGTTATAATTGAATAAAAAAAAATATTTAATTTATAACTTTTTTTACAGAATTTACAGAAGGTTTCTCATCCACGACCTTTTCAGATTCCTCATGATGTAGTCAGGCATGTTAGTAGTGGCCATTTTTATTATAAGCTTATTTTACTATAACTATGTAATTTGTAATGAAATCTTTTGTAGTGAGTCCGTATGTATTCCCTGCTTTTGGGTAAAGGTCGGTGTAGAAAAGCCACGTTTGAAATGTATCGAAGTGCTTTTGTTATAAGTCAAAACATTTTGGATTGAAATGTTTGTATGTGTGTCTTTTTAGCAGAACCGAAAATTTGAGAAGCGTAAGACCAAATCGGTTTCAGTAAGTATGTGTAGGTAGCACTAGCGGGTCCAGGATTTAATTTTGGGGGAGGAGAGCTTCAGCCCGAAATCTACTTTTTTTCATAAAAATAACAATAATTGCTTTGGAAAAAATAAATAAACTAACTGCCTACATGAAATGATGTTTAAGTGATTCCTAAAGTCCTTTCAAATGTGATTACATGAACAATAATACTTAATTTTTTAATATTTTTTCCATAAAACATGGTTACATTTTACCATTTTGGGGGGGAGGCTTCAGCTCGAAAGCCTCCTCCCTCCCCCTGTAGATCTGCCCGTGGTAGGTAGCAAGTTTCTGTCTCAGTTTTAATTTTGATTTGAGTAATAAGTATAACAATTTACTTCTTCGATTTAATCTTATTTTGCTATGTGAATACCAGCTTTGTAAATTTAATAAGTGATTTTGTAGGTGTAACCAATATCCTTTGGAATTTAACTCTCAATTTTTCATGTGGGCTTAGATTTCTATGTCTGACAAATTACAGTAATATATCTATAATAAGAAGCTGATAGGTAACTGGAAGACTGTTGCGAGACTTGCACAAGTCCAAGACACCTCATGGTCTCGCATTTGGGCAACACTAGTTGTGGTATTCAGTCATAAGCAATATAAATAAATTATATTCATTAAATTTACATTAAATAATTTATTTTTATTAAATTTACATTAAATAATCTATATTTATTAAATTTTCATTAAATAATTTATAATTACTAAATTTGCATTAAATAATTTGTATTTATTAAATTTAGATTAAATAATTTACATTTATTTAAAGTTTTTTTTTTTCTAAAGGTGAATATTAAGAAGAAAAATAAAAATAGTTTCATGATTGCTGACTTAGAATTGAGTTTCTGGTTTTCCAATGAAAGTTAATTTTCACTCAGTTTTTGTTTAATGTTTTAATAATTAAATAAATTTGTTTGTGAAATTTGCCAATGAGAGAGTAAGATGAATACAATAGAAATCTTAATATGCCTAAGTTTATTGGAATATATTTTAAAAGAAATTAAACAGAAAAAAAAACAAATATTGTTCTTTGATTTTATTATTTATTTTCGCGTGATATAAGTGATTCATATGCTTCATACAGATTGTTCAACATCAATTCTATCTCCCAAACCATTCTAGTAAATAATTTGTTGCAACAAAGACAGACTATTCAAATATTAGTTTCCCGCCGATCCAATATGGCCGTCCCCTCCGTATGACCGCACTGTATTATTAAGCCACTATACCAATCCGCAATAGTGGCGCTTCCTGGTGGTGTGTTTTGTAAACCTTATCTGAAACATTGTGGATAACCTCAACTCAACCAAGATGGCCGGAGGAGTACCACTTATAAATAATTATAACTTTTTTCTTTTATCAGATTTTAGTATTTTTAAAACAAAACATACATTTAAACATATTTAAATTACGTTTTTGGCAAATTTCGAATAACCGGAATTGCTACTTTATATCAACACTGAAAAACATTTTGATCATGATCGTGAATCATTGTATAATTAAGTGGTCTTTAATATGAACTAGGTCCTATCTCCATTGATATTACTTTACAGAGCTTAAATGCCCAACGTTCATATACGTCTTCTCCTAAAGTACCTTTAATATGTCTTTTTTTAAATAATTAATCATCTCACATTTTTACATGTTACGAAAAAATGCTAAATATAACTTTTGAAATAATTTGATAATTGAAGAAAGGAGAAAAAAAAAATAAAAACGCTTATCCAGTTCGAAAATGAATCTTCGGAAATACTAGTCACAAGGTATAGGTATAATATGTTATTGAAAAGCCGAGAATTTCAGAAAAAAATAATATCTAATATAGAAAGTTGTAGAAGGTAACAGAGATTGGTGACAAAATTATAAACAATATTTTTTGAAAACTAATATTATTTGACGTTAATCACATGTTTTGAAGAAAATTAAATGAAATTTACTAACTAAATGTAAACTTTTAAAATATTTTTAAGTTTCAAGTATTTAAAATCCACCTAATCAAGGCAATGCCATTGTTTAAAAAACTACTTCATTGTATTTGTGTGAAAGAAGAAGTGAAATATCAAATAATTTCATGGATGTACAAAGCGTATGTTTATAACCTTAAATACATTTACTTTAGTTTAATAATTATAGATTTGATATACTTAAATAATTAGGTATCAACGTCCGTTTATTCCGAAAAATTGTCATGTAACTTTTTAGAAAATTATTTTAATGAATATGATGAATTTTCCCTTTGTGGAATCCCAACATTATCATGTCTTCCTCTAAAAAACGTTTAATTTGGTTTATCATAAATAATAACTACTTTTCAAGGTTAGGAATAATGAAAAAATGTTAAATATAACTTTTGAAAGAATTTGATAATTGAATATGAGAAAAAAAAAAAAAGAAAAGTACATATCCCGATCCGAAAATGAATGTCCGGAAATAATAGTCAGAAGGTATATGTATAATATATCCTTGGAAACCGAGGAATTAAAACAGAAATATCTAATATAGAAAATTGTAAAAGGTAACGGAGAGTGGCGAAAAAAATATAAATAATGATTTCTAAAAACTGACATTATTGAACGTAAAACACATGTTTTCAAGAAAATTAAATGAAATTGTCTCAATAAATGTAAACTTAAAATTTTTTTTTTTAAGTTTGAAAAAGTATTTAAAATCCAAGGGTTCAAGGCAATGACACTGTTTAAGGTACTATTTCATTGTACTTGTGTGGAAGAAAAAGTAAAATAAAATAAAAATATTTCATGGATATGTTTATAACTATAAATATAATTACTGACTACTAAACAGAAAATCTAAATTTTCCATTGAAAACAAGCTACTGATCTACAAGACAATACTGAAACCTATTTGGACTTACGGACTAGAACTGTGGGGATCAGCAAAATTTTTTAACATCAAGCGCATCCAATCCTTCCAGTCAAAAGTCCTTCGAACAATAGTCGATGCTCCTTTCTATGTAACCAACAAAACCCTACATCATGACCTCAACATCCCATATGTCCTAGACCTTATCCCAGAAAAATTCTCCAAATTTCACCACAACCTTACGTACCACCCAAATCCTCTTGCACAGTCCCTATCAAGCACCTCCCACCCCTATAATCCTCCAAGAAGGTTGAAACGGCAGTGGCCTCGCGACCTTTTGTTGTAGATTGTATACATTGGAGTTCTGGCAATGGCCAGATTTTTCACTCAAGAGATGAGAGTATGTAGCTTAAGTGCTCTCGATCAATCTCCGATGGCTTTAGTGCCAGTGACGCGGTTGAGAGAGTAGCGCAGGGTTCTCCTGGAGTTCCCTCGCCTGATTGTATATAGGTATGCATGTTTTGTTTTTTTTTGCTTAATTTTAATTTCCTTTTTTTTTAGGTTATTTTATTGTATTATCTATTGTATATACTTTTGATTATTATTTCGTTTCTATTTATTTATTTTTTTTTGTACATTTAGTGTGAATATCATCCTACCTCACTATAACCAATGTCCAAGAGACAGATTGTTGTAATACTTAATAAAGAGAAAAAAAAAAAACTGTAGTTCAATAACTCTAGATTTGATATTGCATTTAAATAATTACGTATCTATCATCCGTTTTTTCCGAAAAATCATCATGTAACCTTTTAGTAAATTAAATTAGTGAATAATTTGATTAATTTTCCCTTTGTGATATTCCAACAGTATTCACTTCCAATTAGTGTGACAACTTTTAACCTGTCTATGACAGAAAATGCAAATCTCTTAATTCCATTTTAGTAAACTGTGCAATGGAAAATAACAGCTTAATAACTAATAGCCGTACAATCCGTAATCAACGGATCGTACAACCCATAATCAACCGGTGATATATTAAATAGAACTTTTGTTATTTATGATTTGTTAGCTGTGAGCTTTTAGCTTTAGCTCGGTTAAAAATGCAATTCAAAAATTTTATAATAAGCCAACATGGCCAGAAAATATTTTCTATTCAACGTTGAGCGGTGAGTGAAAGTTGTGTGTTGCGCGCACCAGATTTTTGTTTTAATGAATTAGATTTTTAACAATAATTAAATACCCAAAAAACAAGACCGGTAGATTATTCATCGATAATTATATCGAAGCTTAAATGATCGATATTAGATGCCGAAATAGGAAGAAGATCGATGTATCAGGCAGTGGTGACAAGACGACACAGAGGATAAAACACTAACCGGTCGACCGCTAGACAGATTAGGCGAGGGGGTTACTCCTCTGCCAACAAGAGGAATTATAACGCAGATGAAACCCGATCGGTGTCCAGCTCCTATTCGGCCCCTCCTCTTTGATGCCCGTGAAAAACCCCACCAGCTGTCGTTAAACTGCCGGACGTGAAAATAAAAAGGAGAAAATAGTCTCGGAAAAAGGAAAAGTGTGCTGAGAAAAAAGACCACACTATCGTTGAATAAGGGATACTCAAGGCTTGGAATGTGGCAGCAATTAGAACAAGAGACTTGTTCCTCCGTCAGTCTCAGTTCTTAGCCCAGTTCTCCTCCTTTAGGATAATCTTTATACTTTACAAAGGCATATTATTACTATAAATAACAAAAAAAAACTAAGGTGTGTGCTTTAGACCACACGATAGAAGTGAAAACATCAACAAGGGAAGATCAATAATATGAAAAATAAATTATAAATAATAGCTCATTATAAAGTGGATGAAATTCTGAACATTTTCCTCGCTTACATTGTGCAGGTCCGATTTTTAGTTTTTGAGATATTTTAACCCATATATTCAACTAACCTTGTTATCATTTGGTTTTCGACACTATTTTTTCCTTTTCGCCTCCCTAAGACGGCGTCGCGTTAATATATAATTTTGAATTATATCTTATTACAGAGAGGATGAAAATCTGAACAATTTCCTCGCATATGGTTTGCAGGCCTGATTTTAGTTTCTGAGATATTTTAAACCATAATTAAAAACATTTCAATTAGTCGACTATAGCCGACATTACCCCAGAGTTAAAATCTGACGAATGAATCTAATTCACTCTCCACATAAAGTGCAAAATGCGCTTAAAAATGTTTTCACTTCAAAATACTTCATGAAATGCTCAAAAATAAAAAGTCGTACGAAAATGAAAATGCACATTTTAGATTTTTGCATGCCTAGGATGTAACAACTTTTTTGTCAAAATCGACTGAACCGACATTGGTACTATAAATTCGATTTAACAATTTTTACAGTTTTCTCAAAAACAACTCTAATAATTTTGTTAATTTCGTTGTCTAAAGTACCTTTAGGTATTTATTTTTATTTGAAATAATTAACCATTTCACATTGTAACCTAGTATAAAAAATGGTTAAACATAAAATATGAAAGAATCTTATAATTAACTAAAGGAGAAAGAGAGCGTGACGGTAATAGTATTAATAGAGAGACCGAAGAAACCCGAGCTCAGCCAAAAGGTTAGAAAAACCTTCCATGTGTAGCACGTGCTTCATGAGAGTGAACTGACAGGTGAAAAGATCATTCTGAACATTGAAGTGAATAGTCAGCTCTGTGTCATCTCGAAATGTTTGTTTACATTTCGATTTGATAAGGCTTTTTTGGCGTGGTTAATTGGGACCGCGGTGTCCATGGAGAGTCAGAACCCCCGCTTCCGATCCGAGGCTGGGCCAACTTCCAGGGACCGCTATCACCGTACTTTCCAGGTCCGCGTCCTTTGCTCCTTCCCTTCAACACCCAGCCTTAACGTTGGTAGAAGAAACGGATTTTGAAGCGAAATTGGAAAAACGAAAACGTCAGGCTAACGACGGCTTCGAAATGACTAAGAAGACCGTAAAAACCAAGAGAATTGGAGAACCTTCTGTAGTAGCTACTGCTAATAAATATCTCCTGTTAAATAGTATTTCAACCGAACCTCAATCTGCTATTGAAACTGTTATTCAACCAGCTCCCCAAACTACTTCTCAAACAAACCCAACCAAAATACCTCAAGTACCTCCGATAGTCATACCAGGCACACATTCAACAACCTTTATAACTGAATTCATGACTTCACTAAATATTACAAATTATTTTCTGCGCCGCACAAGAAAAGATTTACGTATTCTTCTCGATTCTGCCAATGATCCTACTCCTCTCTTGTGTGGTCTAACAGAAAAGAATATTAAATTCCATACATTCGCAGTTCGTGGAGATAAACAACGACCTCAGCTGTTTATACTAAAAAATCTCGATCACCAAGAAGACATTGAAAATGTTAAAGCTTCCCTAGCACCAGTAGGTGTAATGGATGTTAGAAGGTTGCAAAAAACCGCTCCAGATGGATCAAAAATCACACATTCACCCATACTTGTGACTGTCCCTGCCAATGTCACAATTGAGGAGATTCGAGCCATAAAAGCGGCCAATAGAGTGATTTTTCGATTTGAGAAATATATAACTTGGCGAAGCGACCTCATCCAATGTTTCCGCTGCCAAAAATTCGGACATACGAGAAACTATTGCTGACACGTAGGCATATGCGTCAGATGCTCTAGACCTCATAATATTTCAGCATGTCCCCGACAGGTTCAACCAAAGTGCCCGAATTGCTCACAGGAACATGTTGTCTCGTTTCGCCAGTGCTCTTATCGACTTCAGTACAGTGAACAACTGCAGAAGAAAAAAGAAGAATTGGCCTTAAGAAAGAAAACAGCTACCAAATCTACCGATGCGACATCAAACCATACTTCGAATCCAAAGACTTATGCGACGACTTTAATACTTCCAACTGACCCATCGACACTCGAACAAGTACGAGAACTTCCTCCAGAAGCTGAACCACCACCATGGCTTACTCAGTTCCAAAAATCTATGAATGGACTAGTACAACAATTAATTACCATAATAAATTCAGTAGTGAACCTCGTTACCCAAAAATGAGAGAATACTCCATTCTTAACTTCAATTGTAACGGCCTGTCAGTCAAGATAGAAGAAATGGAAGCACTGTTAGCCATCACTGAGCCCTCTATTGCAATCATCACAGACACTCGGACACTGGATCGTCGCCCTTGCTTTCAGGGTTACTCAGTAGTCACCGATGAATGTTATGATCCTTATGGAGGTGT